CGTTTGCGCATGTAACATCATCTGGCTGGAAAATAATGTCGAAATACATGGCTGCTCGCGTTGTGGCACCAAAAGTGAATGTACCAAAACCAAAACCTGTTGTCGTCAAGCCTCTTGGCACTTGAAGTCCCAATATACTTCCATCTGTGTGTATGCATTTCAAATATGATTATTTTGCAATTTTAGCTCACGTCATCGTGAACATCTGTGTGTGATTATCCAACCTCTATTTTCTGTTGTGGATATCGGTATCTCTATTCTGACTGGAAGCTCATTTGTCTTGAAACCATATTGTTCCCCTTTGTGAGTGAGTCTTTCGGTCAAACATCATTTCGTCATAATTTAGATTCTTTGAATATTTTTGATGCTTTTGTGGTGTGAGGCCTTTGTCGTAGTAGAGTCTTGTAGCCTGGCCTGCTGCATGCTTTCGGTGGACGACATCGAGAAACAATCAACAGCAAAAGGAGTAGCTCCAACAACCTCTACGCAAACTAACACAAACACCCTACCACAAACAACTAGCCATTCACTCTCGAAGAAGTCGTAAAAGTCGGCTCGTTGCATACACAACATTCTTGGGTCTAGTTTATGAAGTTGCGAAAATGGAATCAAATGAGAAATTTAGTGTCCTAGTTGAAAATTCTGCTGGTGGAAGTTTCATGGTGTCTTTCATGGGGAATAATGATAGGTAGATTATCATCGATGTTGATAAGGATAACTGTGTTTTCGTGACCTGGTCCTTAGTACGAGACTTTCAAGTCGCAAAAGTCTCGTACTGGCATAGAGTTCAACAACATTGATGGCATTGCATTGCAATCTCATGAGCCAAAGTTGAGCTTCTTTTCTCATCTCCCACAAAAACTCAAAACAAGCGTGCAGTACACCACACACCAAAACCCAACACTCATTCCAAAACTGTTTCCGAAAATCTCTTTATCAACCAACACCATCAGGCTATACTCGCTAGACTCTTTAGCACAGTCAACAATATGGTCTTGATATACCATACTCTCAAGATCCTCTTCACCCTCATCCTCCTCACCAAGATAACTCAAGCAGCTGCTCTCATTCGCAGAAAGTTCGACCCAATGGCACCTGGTTTGTATGCATATGGAGTAGCTCCTGGATCTGTAAGTGCAAAAAAACGAAGGCTATTTAAACCAATGGCCAGGATCAACCCACTCACTCCCATCACCTCCCATACTCTACAGCAAGTCCTCATTGAAGACCTCGAAACCATCTGCCTAATCGCGCAGCTATCCCCTTATGGTGTATCCAAAGTATCTCGACTCGAAACAACGCAAGAGTACAGGGCGCTTGTTGACGCATCTCTTGGTAAAGAAATCATGGTATCCTTCCCAGGCAATAACGTAGAGTGGATTGTTATTCGTGTTGGTTATGATGGAGAGATGACGGTTACGGGGGCTGTTGAGGTGTCAGATCAGAAGGTACGCAAAAAAAAGCGTTGGGATTTATTATGTATTGGAATCTTACCACCTTTTATTTTCTCACCACAGGCAACAATATTAAATTACGAAACAGAAATAACTAACACGGTAGATGAAAGTGTATTTTTTAAAGATGCGATAGAGAGTCCTGGTTTCATTGTCGTAAGTTCCTTTATATGCTACTTCCAATATCAACAGTTTTTTGCCCAGTCGTGATCTTCTAACTTTCTCGATTGTTCCAAAAGATCAAAGGAACCAAAATCGGATCCCTCGACGTGCCAGTTTTCACACCCTCTCCTTCCAAAACAAGTACTGAAGCCAACCTGTACGATATAACTCCAAACGGAAACAACGAGTGGAAACCCCTCCGTCAAGAACAAGACATCAACAACCAGCTCGATTTTAGGGACGCACAAGCAGCTCTTGCTGATGCAGCAGATGAGCATGTAAGTTCACTAAAACAAAAACACCGTCTGGTACTTGAAAATCGACTTCGATTAACATTGCACCCTTTGAAATTCTTTATAGCACGTCGACGTCTCCCAAAAAGGCCCCATCCTCGCCCTCCTGGACGGAATCCTCTACTCGTTCGTCATAGTCCCCTTCTTCGTAACCCTCGCAATTTTCTCCCTCGTCATGTCGTTTCGACCATTCTTGGCTGCAGTTGCTGGGATGTTGGATATGGCACTATCGTTTGTGGTCTTGCCATTGAAATGGGTGTGTATCGTTGTATTGAGTCAAATTCATTCGACCATGGTGCTAACAGGTTTTGTGGGTGTGTGTAGACAGCAACGAAACTGAAGAACGCGGTATCACGTAAACCGGTGCTGAGAATGGAACGTGAGCCGTTACTTGGTAACGACAAGTTGAATGGTGGTGGTGATGAACGAAGTCCGAAGGTTGAGATGTCTGTGCATATGAATGCTAATGATCCAGTTGACGGATCACGCAGAAAGGGATCTGTCAACACGAGAAAGCCAAACCTGCCTGCCTTGTAAAGTAGAACTATGTGGTTGATGGCACTGGAACTTTGCGATGCCGATACGCTTGAGAGCAAAATGTTGTTAAGGACTGTTTCAAAGTGGTTGAAAGCATTAATTTAATATATAATATTGATACAATTTGATAATTTGGCGGTGCTTGATCGTTAGATCTTCCGTCACAGGCGATTTTCATCTGTACCAAAAAATGTACGCAAAAGCAAATACGGCACACGTTCACCTAGCAAAGTAGCAGCAGGCCTTACCTTGCTCACATGCCCAACCTACGAATCCTCCAGCTCCTCCTCATAAGGTTTCCTCCATCCCCAATAAGAACCAATCTAGCTGTCTCTTGCTCTTTTTTTCTTGCCGTTCGACCATACCAGACGAAGCCATACCCCACCCAAAACTCTTGCAAGTCTAATCAGCTCTTGAGCACATTCAAACATGGGCTGGATAGACCACCAAACAGCCTCAACATGGTCGCTGCTAGTCCTCTACGTCCTCTCCTTCCTGGGCTCTCTGGAAACAATCGCCATCTTTGCTCGCATGGGTCGCAACTGGACACTGATTACATTCAGTGTTGCGTATGAGATATATGTGCTGGTTGTTATTGGGTTTTATGTATGTATTCGATCCTAGAGCCTCGCTAGCATTGACCCTTGGGCCTGTACTTGGTTGAAAAGTTGGCTAGAACTTTGCAACATCAAACTCACAAACCGATTGACTTGTACAGGGATACGCAAACGGCGACCTAATGTCATGGGTAACATTCACGTCCCCGTTGACATGGCAGGCCAGTAGGATGTGCCAGATCGAGGCGCTGATTGTGCAGTATCTTACATCCTTCCTATGTAAGCCCCCACCATCACTTAAACGTCTCATCTCTTCACGGAACGCTAACCGAAACTCAACAGACATATTCGCATTCTTCATATCCTTTGACATATGGTGTGCCATAGTCCGAACCCGGCTGCAAGACACGGAGCGATCTCGATACATGTACTATCTCGTTGTTGGACTGCTGCTCCCGATTATACCGACTGTAATCACGGCGATACTTGCGGATCCCGCTGCAGGGTATCTGCCTACTGGGAGTACGTGTTTATTGCTGCTCTGGATACTGGTTTTGTTTTCGAGGTAAGACACTGACTTGACTCATTTTTTTAGTGGTCTGCCAGCCCGTAGCTCCTCTCAACTTATACGCGGCTGGAATCCTTCCATACAACCTCATCGTCTCGCTTGTCGCTGTCGTGCTAGCAGGTATTTTCTTACCATTCACTTTCATCCCCCAGTCCCTTCACATTCACTAACGCCCCATCCTCTCTCCAGGCCACGCCGTAATAGTCCTCCTCCGCCGCCGCGCCGACTTTCTCGCGCACGACGCCGAGCTCGACTCCCCCACGTCACCACCATCCCCCGTCTCCTCTTCCTCATCCTCCTTCTCGGACTATAAGAAAACCTCACACATAAACAGCAAAATCTCACAAGTCCGGTCGCGAATCCCGCTATCTCTCTGCTACAGGATGCTCGCATGGGTATTCGCATTCACGGTCGTGACTATCGTTGTCAACTATGGACCGTTTAGAGCGCTTGTTAATGGCGCGTGGGATCCGAATGATGTCAAGATTGGGCCGAGTCATTATGCCGGTGCTAGCTTGGGGATACTTGGCTTGTTGATTTTCGGGACTGGGGCTGGAGCGTTTAGGAAGAGGTATGTGTTGTCAGATGCAATGATTTGCTTCAGATGGCTTTGTTTTTGGTACTGACGGATGTCAATTTGTTCATTTAGCTCAATGTCCTGGATTTACAAAACAACATGTGGACGCGCGCGATCTGGTAGACGAGACGCCGATGACTTGTATCCTGATCCGAGAATAACTTCGTCACAGGGGAGATCGAGGTTGTCTATGGCTTAATTCATCGTATTGGTTTTAGCTCTACGTGGTAATCCGTCATGGCCTATAAGTCCTCAACACTTTTAAAAACGTACTTAATGATTCTTACTACTGCTTGCTCATTGTCTTTTCTTGTATTGGTATGCCTGTTTTTGGGAATATAGTGTATAGTGTCTGATTCCACAGATTGGTGTAAAAAGGTGGCTTTGGTTTTGGTGTGATATGTTGGGCTTCAACTCTTGGAATGTTTCATTCATATTTCATAAGGGTGGAGTCCTTTTTTTGGTCGATATGACGGATGATCATGATAAACATGGAGGGTATTGTTTCTGCAACATCGCAGTCCTCACGACCATCGAATGTCGAATCCATACACCACATGGACTGCTGTTTTCGGTCAGCGTTCATTACCAATCATACACACCACAACCAACGCAAAAATCATCGCCCACACGCAAAAGCTAAAAAAAGTGCAATGCTTCCTATATTCTTCTTCTAGATACAACGAAAGCAAACATAACATAACAATCGTCATTGATTCAACTATTAAAAAACCTCAATGACACCCCAATCTCCTCCCCCTCTCTCTCTCAACAACAGCTTTCTCTTTACAAGTCCTCCCCACATAATAAAAAACACTCCACTCTGTTAATCTTGGCAATTACACTCTTCTTTTAATCTTTAGGTGCATAATCTTTAGCAATCTGTCGAACCTTCTTCTCATATGCAGCTCGATCCTTTTTGAACAAGATATATGCTTCTGTTTGGGCGGGTGATTCTGGGTTTGGTTCGTTTAGCAAGTCCTAAGCGATCAGCATTGATTAATATACTACCAGAGGATACAAGTTCAAACAAAAAAAAAACGAAACATCATAACCGCTCGATGTGAAACCCGACACGTCACTAAACCAAAACATACCTGCACACCCGTAACAATCTGCTTAATAGTCAAACTCGGCTTCCAGTCCTCCTCCTCATTCAATATAGATAGACAGATGGTACCAGAGGGATAAACGTTTGGGTGGAAGAGTGGAGGGATGAATTTGCATTTGGGTGGTTTTTGAGGATATTCTTCTGGGAATTGCATTTGTATCTTGTAGAGGCCGCCTTCCCATGGTGTTCCTACTTTGCCTGATGAAATATACAAAGTGGTTTGTTAGAGTCACTGAGTTGATGATGACCAAGGGCTGGGTGTTGGCTGATAGCCCAAAACAATATGATCATGCCTGGTATTCCAACAGTCCAGTTTGTAAGATCCATTGTGCCGTCAGGTTTCTTTTCGGGTTTCGCCCAGAATCCATAAGCTAGAGGCGAAGTTTTTATGTTTGATGTTAGCTTTGGTTGAGACGATTCTCTCTCTTTGTATACGAGAGAAGGAGAACGGTAATCAGGTAAATACACAGTTACAATCAATACAGAGCTACTTTGGCATCCTCTGGCATAATCAAACAACAACAAGCCTCTGAAACTGTTCAACTGAAGAATACAAACAAAAACTTGGATTTATCAAGGACTTGGAGGACTTACGATGATCTTTCCTCCACTGTTTTCGTTCCTCTGCAAGACGATTTGCCGCTATTGAACTCATCTTGTTGAGGTCTGCTTATTTTGGTACGCGAGTGTGATTGTGTCTGTTGGAAGAAAACGTTCATTGTTTACCTACTACAAACGCTCCAAGTAAAGCAAATAGGGAGGTTTTGATTTATTTCTTAAATACAATAGATGCACCAATACGTCGTCCAATATTCACTAGAGCTAACGTGGGATAGAACGAATGAGCACTTGGTCGTGTACACGAAGCTTCAAGAAGCAACAATACCACTGTTTTTGCACATACCTGGAACTCGCGATATCCTACCACTACTAAACAGATGCGCCGTCCTCTTTTCAGAAGCATCCGTGTTTATAGGTCTGCGGTGTGGAAAGCGGGGCGATCGAGTTTTTATCGTTACATCTCTGTATGAAGATAAATGGTACGAATGAGTATTGGATCTGATCAAGTACCATCAAGCAGAAAAAGACGGCTTCGATGATGCCGAGCTACGTACCGAACTTGATACTCTTCTTGCTTCCTACTAGCCTTCCTCCTGAGTACCTTTTCAACTTGATCTGCTGGATCTCGTCTGGTATTAAAAAAGACGTCAGCATACATATCCGCGACGCTTTCTCCAACACGACAAACAGTGCATACTGTGCCAGTTTCTCCTGCACTTTCACACCCCTCCTCTCCTCCATAAACGCATCGACGACATCATCAGGCAGAAATCTAGCCCTCTCTGATATCCTGGCCTTCTTGGCAGTAGCCTGTTTGGCCAAGCGTTCGTTCAGTGCTCGTTTTTTCTGCTTGGTTGATATCAATGTCCTAGTGAAGTAGCGTATTTAGCAATAGACTTGTAACGAAATATATTGTATTCAAATCATACTTTCTAAGCGCAGACTCAACATTCTCTCTACTCTCTTTAACAGCCTTCCAAGCATCGATCGTTAGATGTTCTTCCACTGGCTCGTCATTGTTGTCGTCTTCGATGATGTGGTCAGTATCTTCAGTGTCGTGTATGGTGGCAAAGGATGGCTTTGGATGTTCATCAATATTAGTGGTGTGTATGTCGCTGGTTTGTATGTCGTCGTCGAATTTGACATGTAGAGCGGATGCAGTTTTGGGCTTTTTGATGCTGCTGGTGGGTGCGATTGTGGTAGTGTCGTGTGCGGATTGGACCTTCCTCTTTGACATTGCTAGGTGTCTTGTTTTCAGTCTTGCGTGCGTGCTGCTTCGAGCGAAAAAAAAATGAGGACGAAGGAGTGGACGTTGGTTTGATCAGCCTGACTTCAAATAAAGTAATTCGATGCTTCTGATTAAGACGTATTGATTAATCATTAATCGCGTAATAGAGTCTTGAATCTTGACTAAGTTCATAGAAAAGGAGAGCAAAAAATCGTTTCTGAAGCAGGATCAATCTCACTTGTTGACAAGCAAAACTAACTACACTACATCATTCTCCATGCGAAAGAACACGTAATGGATCCATGTTGACCTCATCCCAACACCTTTGGTCTCCCTGTCCAATTCCTCCTTCACAAACACTCAAGATTCTTGAAACACCTCTACAGCATCTATAGACAGCAGCAATGGCAATCCTCTCCTTCGGATTCGGTCTCGGCACTATATTCTACGTGTCTGTCCTGCTAGTCAATGCCATCGCCATACTACACGAAGACAGATTCCTCGCCAGAAGTACGTAACAGATATTGACCACGTCAAAACACGCTTCCACCCTTCAATCGTACTAAACTACTTGCATATACTAGTCGGATTCACATCATCAGCAGTCCACTCAAACGCCGGGTTTGGAGACCAACAACAACCATCTGTCAAGGCTAGACTTATTATCATGATGTCTGCTATAAGGACACTGCTGAGGAGTATGTGCATGGATTGAATTGTATATTGCATTCAAGTACTCATCCGTGGTTCACCTAGTACCGTTGGTGGCAGTCAACATCTTTATTATTATCTGGGAGTTGCTACTAGGCTAAAACCACATTACATATAGACAGAGAGACGTTATGTGGATGTTGTATATATAGGTGCTACTAAATGTAAATTGATTGGGAAAATACATACATGCCTCTTGTGTCAACAAAAACAACGGGTAGTGTGCACTGTGAATATGGAATGCTTCCATTTTGCCACTTGACTGAATTACAAAGAGGATATATACATTTGTTCGTGAGATGAAATCATCGTCTCATTCTATTAAGTCGTCGTGGTGGTGGTGGTGGCGGCGGTGGCGGCCTATTGGGTCTCACCCTCCTGTATCCCACTCCATCACCTTCATGGCCTGCCGGGACTTCTGGATGCACACCGTTAAGAACACCGTCTCCGGACGCTGGTGGAGTAGGATCTCCATTCACCGGATTTTCTAATGTCAATCGCTCTCTACGTGCTGCATTCCTACGCAACACCCACCCAGCAATCTACAACAGCAAGATATGATATGTGGTCGTACTACGGAATATGTCGTGAATCAAAGAAACAGCACTCGGAACTTACCATATTACCAATGAACGAAACTCCAATGAAAACCCCCGAAGCCAGCACCATCGTAGGAAACGCTACTGCCAATCCCAATACCGCAATCGACATCCCCACAAGCATCGAAAATGCTCCAGCTATCAACTGAATACTGACGAGATGTTGGATGGATGCTGGCCTTTGGGGCGGTTGGTTTGTTGTTGAGACGTGGGTGTCTGCTGTTGTATCAAGACCATTGTTAGTTGGCATGCCTCTAGCTTGCCAGTTGCCGTCTCCAGTTTTCGTGAGTGGGATTAGGCCGATACGCTCAGCGTTTGTTGGTGGGAGGCTTGCGGATGTGTGGATTGGTACGTAAGCTGATCCGAGTTTGATTCCGAATGCCTGTACGTTGTTGAAAGGTAGATGAGCAAAACAGGGCTGAACCGAAAGCTCCTTTTGTGTCAACGAAACATACCTCAGAATAAACAACACCCTCCACCAACGGCTCAACAAACTCCTGTACAGATTTCTCAGTCTCGCTTCCATCTGCATTCTCGCTATACACCTAATTGCAACCATAAACACCGTCAGCCAAAAAAGGACAATGTGGTCAACCAACATGCCATCAAGCTTCACCTTATCACCATCAAACGTAATCACACCGTGTCGCGCAACACTCTTCACCCCATCGACACTAGGACCGATCTCATGCCATATGTTTGTCTTGCCGTTCAGCGTAATGTAATAGCGTTCTGATGGATCTGGGATTTCGGCTGGGTCGAATAGGGAGACGGATGCGAATGTGCCGTCTTCGTTCGGTGTTGCTATGAAGCCAATGCTGTCTTTGATCTCTTCAAGGTCCTATTTTGAGACAGTTTGAGATCAAATTATGTAATTCACGGTATCTAGCAGCGATGCGTTTTTTTTAGTCAGACATACCTGAGCAGTACTCTGATGAAAAAGAATGCACGACAGTAATAGTACCAGACGACCTCTCAACGTATATGCCATTCTGCAAAGACTGTCGGGATGTGTTGTTGTTCGAGAACGAGTTTGTTTGGAATCTTGCACACCAATGTTTCAAAAACGTTTCGGGTCTACCTGAGGTTACCACCGTAAGCAACCATTAAGTTTGATTTGAATTTGAGTTATACGCATTAAGGAGATAGAGTTTCTCGCATTCTCATTACAAGCTTAAAATACCTGTAGATTCCTTTTACGCAAAACGAAAACCAACATCCAATTCAACACCACTAGCGTTTCTGTGCCTTTCTATAGCATCTTCTGCATGTTTCAAAGCTTTTTTTGCTCTCGACGCTGACATTTCAGCGAACAAAACACGTCAAAACCAAGGTTGACAATTGAACTTTTTTTTTTCACAAATCACCGTCAATATGCAGAATCGCTTGCAAGAAGCCAAGGTGGTATCTTGAATTCAAATAAACTATTTCAGTCTAAATAGGTTCTTTCAATCGCTACAATGGACAAACTTTGACACTCTCACTAAAAATCAGCACTCTGCCATGTTCAAACAAGACTTCGTTTCCCTCTATTGATGATAGTCTTTGGATATCATAATGGCTTTTTCCTTGTTTTGAATAAGGCTGAGTGACGTGACAGTAATAGAGCCAGTTCAAACATAGCTGCTACCTTCTTTGGAAGAAAGCTGGAATCTGTTTGGGAACGCTTGTGGCGCTTGTCACGTCTGTGGAGACAGTATCGGAAGGTTGAGAAAGCCAAATTAAATCCGATTCAAGTTTGGAATGCTTGTTTGAAAGTATGGAGCATGCAAAACAGTTTTTTACAGGGTTGACGCAAACTGGAAAAAAACGTCAGAGGTATAACGGTGGGTCCTTAGAAGCATTGCTGTAGCAAATCATGATCAGTAGCAAGGCTCTTGAAGGTCTTAATGAGGGCTAGACATCCGATCGAAACACGTAGTATAAAACATGACATGCATTTAACATACGTTCCCACACTAGCTACCTCACATGCAAACGCAAAACCCTTTGCAATGCATGCCGTTTTGGTTTCAAATAATTAGTCACAAGCTACGCAGACTCATGTAAGTGGTTTAATTCGCTCAATACCCACGTTGTGATTGACGACCTCAAATCTTGGCACTGCACTCAAAAACGACTCTTCTACCACACATAACACGCTGTTTACAATAGTGAGGCTATTTGATGGAAATGAAGAGCTCTATTCTGATTTCGCTTTTGTGCATCACACAAGGTAATTCGCTCATACTTGTATCTTTCTTGTTTGCAATCGATCTTTTCTCAAACTTATTTTCTGCTGTTGAGTTTGTCCATCACAAACGATCTGCTCTTATACGTGAAACACTCACTTTATTTGTCACCTCTCTAAAATTCCAGCACTTGCACAATCTGTCTCATTCGGCGGAATCAATCTGCATGCAACAGACTTGGGAACTTCCATTCGATACCAACTAGTAACTTCTTCCAGCATCGGATGGGTTGGTTTTGGATTAGGCAGTTCGATGAGACAAGCAGGTAAACCAGCTCTTTCAATCTACCTTACTCTCATTGTTAGTCATGACCTTCACACTTTCGAACATAGACGTGATAATAATCTGGCCAAACAATGGAAACATTATCGTATCACGTCGTAAATCAACTCAAGAATCAGACCCTGTACCATTCTCGACTCAAAATGTGGCTCTGGTTGCTAATATGAGTGCAGTTGATTCCGTGAACGGGAATATGACTACTGTTTTTACTGTGACAAAGAATGCCAGTTTGAGTGGTGAACAGAGTATTAGTGGAGCTACGCAAACGTATATATATGCGTATAGTGGGACTGCTGTTGGGAGCTCGTCAAAGTGAGTGTGCGCAAAGTTTGGGTTGGTGAAGGTTGAAGGGATACCGAGATGAATTTCTGCTGAATGTTACGATCTTATTACTAAGTCACTCATTTTGCAATCTCTTGATAGTACTGCACGTATCTCTCAACACCCTGGCGCGAGCCGTGGCACATTCTCAACTAATTTTTTACTGGCATCTGCCGCTCCTGGAAGCAATACAACGATTGTGGGAGGTAGCTCAGCCAACTTCCAAACCATTGTAAGAAAGTTTTTTAATCTTTTGGCAGTATTTGACCTAACGACCACTAATACAATCTGTCAGGTCTTGATCCATGGCCTATGCATGTTCACAGCATGGGCAGTCATAACTCCCATAACCCTCACGATCTCCCGTTACTTTAAAGCCATCCTCGGTATCTGGTGGTTTAGAGCACACTACATTTTCATGGGCATCGTAGTGCTATGTCTTACTTTTGGTGGATGGGGAGCTCTCAAGCTTACCTCTGATGGTGGTGATACTGGGCTGCACGGAGTGTTTGGAATATTCGTGCTTGTGGGAACTCCTATGCAAGCTTGTTTGGGTGTTGTTATAAATTGGATGTTTTGGCCTTCTCGATTGGTATGTGTCAGTGTTGAGTGGATTTTGGCTCTTGAACTCAGGTAAGCTAATACATTTTTTTTGCAAAAAGGCGATTCCCACTCGTGATAAAATACATTGGTGGATTGGGCGTTTAATCTCTCTCGCAGCCCTGATCAACATTCCCTTGGGGATCTATCTATACTCTGAATCATATACAGTCGACGTATGGGTCTGGCTCGTACTCGCTGCAATCTACGTCATAATAGTCGTCTCCGTCGCTTACTTTGAACTGAAAAAGGGTGCACAACATCATGTTGGTGATAATATTGGTAAACGAGCCAGTCAAGATCCTATCATTAGAGGTGGTTCTAGTAGTGCTGCTGGGTCACCGACGAATTATTATCCATTGCGACCCATTCAGCAGAATCAATATGGTGGTGGTGGTAGTGGTGCACAAGTGTATCCTTCTGCTTCGTATCCTCGTACATAATAAGTAGTTAGAAATGACAAAATGTTCTGTGTGTGTCTGAGTCATGTATATCTTAAATTTATTAACAAATTTATCACGCAAATACAAACTCCCATACCATACCAAAGCATCAAACCAAATTGACTCTAGTATACGCCTTCAAGGGTTAAAACACGTTTGCAGAAAAGATACTCAGATTTAATACCGGTCGGTCACAAATCGTGTCATTCTCGTGATTTTGTATTATTATTAGAGCTTCCTGCTCTATCATTGCTGCCGTCAGGGCAAGAAGGGCGCGTCAAAACACCAGTGACTCAATAAGCCTTTCACGTCAGTCAAACCAACATCATCCAGAAAACAATTGTGTAGTATCCGATGACGCTAAGGACAAGCTGGTACTGTGAATTTGGGGTGATCTGACACGCAGCTCATCTCACGTTTCCTTGGCACTCAAACAGCTACAACTGTTGGGGCCACCAGTTTTTGACAAAACAAGATCTTCGTCACAACATTTCTGGTCAAAACCTCCAAAAATGAGGTACTCTGTCTTAGTGTTGCTGCTATGTATCACTCAAGGTATCTCTATTCTCTAATCTCACTCGCTTTTATTTGCTCGCTACTTTCACACTTTTTGCTCGAACCGGTC